GAAAAGAATAATTTGTTTTTAGTATGTGTTTTGAATGATTTTGAGAATTAATCTGACGTTTATTTATGAGTTTATTTATGATTTGATTATGGTTATGGATTGACTTTTTTTTGTCTTATTAGTAGTTTATGTTCACTTTATTTTTTATTTGATTTTTTTTCTATTTATTTTTTGTGATTTAGTTAGAAAAATATACTTAAGATTAACTAGAAGTTTCAAATTTGTTTCTAATAAGTATAAAGATAAAGTAATAAACTGAAAAAAAACTGAAAATAATTTATTAAATAAAGTGTAAAGATAAACTAATAAACTTAAGATAAACTGAAAATAATCTAAATATCTTACAAAAAAACGAAGGTCGATTTAAGAATAGAAAAGATATTGAGGAATGGAATTGGAATTATTTTAACAATATCATCTTTATGGACAGAACTTCTGAAAGGAATATAGATACATCATTAAGTCATTTTATTTCTATTTTATTCGTTGCTCGTAGTTTGGTAGAAGAATCATTAACAAGGGCATAATTATGTGATAAAAGTTTCTCTATCGTAGTTAAGGTATTGCTGTAAGTATTAAGCGTCTCTGCGTCTTTAAGCCTAAGAAATAGAATGTCATGTTGAGATATCTAAATACAGTAAATGTTTATATACGTGTTTTATTTTTGAATAGCTACCATCCACAACCCATTTTATATTCAAGTTTTTTATATCAGGTATATGTATTAAAGAGTTAACATTCATCTCGTAGTTTTTTATATTCATCTGTTATTATTTTGTATTCATCTGGTATTTTTTTATCAGATATTTTTTTACCAACTGATATTTATTTTTGTATTAATTAGTTATTATTTTTCTTTTTTTTTTTTGTATTCATCTGGTATTTTTTTTATCAAATTCATCTGGTATATTTTTTTGTATCAGTATTTTTGTGTTCTTTACGTAATAATAGATTTTAATTGAAAAAAAAAGAAGTAAAAAGGAGAAAAAAAATGAGTCATCCATTTTGGAAAGACTTTCAGATGTAGACAGACTTCTACAATTTTTTATTCTCTCTCATACCACATCATGACAAGAAGAAATTTAAAAAGCCACCGTTGGAGGAGGGTTTTCGTCCCAAAACATCTACAATTCTCCAATTAACATACCATTGGAGATGCTCTTAGATGAGTTAGTTCCGATTCGTCCACAATTTCTCCCGAACTATAAAAATTTATAAATTAAACGGGCGAAATAAATTTGAATGGCCGAGCTCATTGCAAATAAACGGGCGAAATAAATTTGAATGGCCGAGCTCATTGCAAATCGTCATTACTCATTACTAACCCAAAATTGGCGGTTCCAAACCGAAACAAAGACGAATGGGAACGGGCATACATGGCCAAAAGTCGGGTCGGACAGGGCCGATTCCGGCCTTGGACTGTCGGTTCATAATTTGATTTTTTGTTGCACCAAAACCGACCAGGATTAGCACCAGGCCAGTTCATTGAATCAGTTGTCCCAGTTCAGAACCAGACTAAACCAGCCAAGTGGTTCAGGGCCGGTTCGGGCGAAACTTTAAAAAAAAGTTCAAAACTTAAATTTCAAATTAGAATTTCGTCACCTAACTGTTGGGCTCGACATGAATCAGAAATTGTGGTCCAATTTTTCTAAACAACATGAACCGGTGTTGGGCCGATTCCAAACCGTGGCCACGGCTAGGAACGGGCAGTTTCGTATCAAAACCATCCGACAAACAAAACCGCCAAGGGAATGGAGACCCTAGAACTAGCGGGTCGAGTCTGACTGGCACATTCGTTTATTTTATCTTTTTTTCATATATCAAAATGCAATTATTTGTGGCGTGATTCGATATAAATCTAACCGGTTTTTGTCAAATTTGGTTGGTTAAAGTAAGTTATTTGAATAAAGTTGATTGAATTATGATTTTGACTTTGTAATTAAATAATATTTAAAATATAATGATTAAAGTTGATGTCATAGTTTTAAAACACAGACCAATGATTGACTCGGGCTGGACTCCAGGTCACCGTGGGGTCATCGAGTCAATTGCCGAACCGGGTAATTAATTTTATATTTTTATTAAATTTTAAATTATATTTACACTATTTTTACCTTATAATAACAAGACATAAATATTATAAATATATTAATTATATGTAAATTTTGTACCTTAGAGTCTTAATAATATTGCATAATTACCATAAATATTTTTTACATAAAATATACGTCTACATAAATTTATTTTTCAAAATAAAAATGTAGAAAAAGCAAAAGAAAAAAAATTAATGGCCAAGTCAAACTAAGTTGGCCCGGCAGGGTCAATACACGGGCCGATCGGGTCAAGGTCGGTCGAGTCCACTGCTACCCGGTCCAAATAACCCGCCTGGACCGATCGTGGCCCTGGGTTGACCGGATCTCGAGTTGATCCGTCGGGCTAGTCTCAAAACACTAGTTGAGTTGATGTAATAGAAAAGTACGAGAGGTTATTGGACGTGATAATTAAATTAAAATTATGTGAGTAATTGAATATTGAATTGAAGTTGATGTAATGGGTGAGAATGATTGATTGATATTATTTAATTATATTAATAATTTCGAGTTGAATTTAATGAATTGATTTTAAGTTAGAAAATTAAAAACAAAATAACTCAATCGGTTAGACGTTCAAACGCGCCCTTGGACTTGTAACTCTTAAGCGTCTCTCAATCAGTTATCTCGGAATCGGTTATGACGATGCCAACCCGTGCAAGTCAATGCTGGACACGCCTGCCCTTAGGTTTCTCCAATTGTATAGTGTTTCGCCTCCAGAGGTTACAGACCGTGCACTGGCTTCCTTGACCGAAGCAAAAGTTGATTTTAGTCGGAGAAGCAGTGGCTTCTCCAATTGTATACAAGTGGGACCTTCTTCGAGGTCTGTGCTGGAGTTTGTGGGTAAGTTTTGCTGTGTGCGGCGTCTGACATTGACAACTGGTTTTATGAAAGTGAGTGATGATTTTGGTTTTTTTTTTTCTTCTCTTTTACATATTTGGAAATCCCAGTTTAGTTTCTATCTGGTACTGAGTGCATTGTTTCTTTTTGAGGCAGTTTACCGACTCTGCATTATCTGCGTTGAATGCTATTAAGTTTCCTAATTTAACGGAGCTTGTGCTGGGGGAGTCTCATGGGGTTTTCGTGTCGATTTTTCTTGAAAATGCCGATAAACTTGAACTCCTTGCCATCACATTGCTTGTAAGTTCATCGGCCTTCTTCTTTTTAATCTTTGGTTAATGATTATTGAGATGACTTTTTTGTGTTTCTTTATTATTTTCTTTACAGTATCAGAAGTACGAAGTGGTGGCTCTGAATTACTGGGTGGAACCGAAACAAGTGTCTACATGCCTATTACCACATCTTAAATATTTTGAAATCTTTGGATTTCAAGGTTTTGAACCGGAGTTTAACATGACAAAATATATATTGAGGAACTCCAAAGTCTTGGAGGGGTTTACAATACTGCCCCGAAGCCAGAAGCCTCATTCGATCGGAAAGATTGAAGAGCTCTACAAAGTAGTGCTTGAGCGAGGCTTTGATGCAAGTGAGATTAACTTCCATTCAACCACCGTGTGATCCTTTATAGACCTTTTTATGCTGTCTATCTTTTGCATGGCTTGGCTTATTTTGTATTTTCCATTGGTTTGTTCCTATGTTTAGATTCTTTTGGATGACCTTATAAAGTTTTTGCTTTTTTCCTTTTATACTTTTCTTTCTAGTGTTTCAACTAGAAAGCTAACTTATCTCATCTGCACCTCTCATCCATCAGCCATTTAGGAGGTAGAAAAAGTTTAACAGTGTCTGGGTGATGATTCATAACATCCAAATTTTGCGAAAATGCGCTTTGGAATTTTTTCGAATGTTATTAGAGATCATATCTCGGAATATTTATGAGAAAATTACATTTGGGAATACTATTTTTTAAGAATAGAAGTATCTCAATATCATGCAAATAATCATTAATAATAAAGATTTTTTAATTTTTTAACGGCAGCGGAGGGTACTTCAAAACTTCTACCGAAAACTTTCGGCAATTCGGTTGTCCAAAATAACTAATTACCAACAATGAAAGTTGGAATAGGAGAAAATAAAATTGAGAAGCCACTTAAGCTACTTAGTAAGGTGTATTCATTTGAAATTTCTATTTTTTTTTAAATTTGAGGAATATTTTTAGGGTTGTATTGATTTGGGATTTTAAATCACACTAGTTTTTGTCCCGTGCATTTGCACGAAAAACTATATGATAAATAAAAAAATAACAAAAATTATAAACAACAGTAAAAATCATAACAAATTCATTGAAAAAAATTAAGAAAAAAATATAAATATTCTTAAACACTTCTTTATAAAACAACGTCGTGGTTTTTCTATCGTCAAAATCTCCCTCAGCTCAATTCAAAATCTTCAAACCCCACTGACTCGTAACTCTAAAAAGCGCCACGTATAATTGCTCATGACTAAATGCAGAGCTCTTCAGTAGTAAGCCGACGTGCGACAGACTGTCTTTGACTCTTATTGATCATGTCATAGCATAGGAAACACTTCTTTATATTGTTTGTCCTCGACTCTTATTGATTGATAGAGATTGTCCTTGCTTCTTAATAAAAAAAATACCATCTAAATATAAATGAGTAAATATAATATAAATTTTTTATATAAACAAAAAATTTAAAGTAATTGATAATGAGTATAGAATTACCCTTGCGGATTCAAGTTATTTCAACGATGTTCTTTTTATATATCTAAGATTTAATTTTTTTTTTCTGATTTATAAAGCACATTTGACTAATTTTTATAAAATTTATTGAAAAAAGTTACTATTTTTTTGAAAAACTGATAAGATATTAAGATAATACTGTACTTAACATAAATGTGGGATTAATTAAAATAAATCATTTTAATTTAGTCATTAACTAATTAAATTTAACTATAAAAAACCTTCTTAAATGTGAGATTAATGAGTAATTAATTAAAAAAAAATGTAACTCCTTTTTGAGGGAAAGTGAAAATATTTTTATTAAATATTTTATTAAATAAGATTAGCTAGCAATTATATATATATAGATTTTGAGACTTTCTTGAATTTTCATATTTAGGAGAGATTCTATTAAATCTTAAATGTGGAGGTGAGATTTGATATATGATTTTTTTTTCTTTTGAAAGCACATTAAATTTTAAAAAGTCTTAACAAATCATGGTGCCTCAAGATTTTGAAAAACTTTTTAAACGGAAATGCTCTCATACCCACGGTGGGCACATGTTAATATGCTCATCGCTTATATGGCATGCACACATTGGTGATATATTTTTTTTAATATATTAACATCACCAATGTGTGCATGCAACATGAACGGTGGACATGTTAACATATGTCCACCGTGGGTAGGGAAGAATTTCCCAATTTTTAAAATGTCAAATGACTACTTTGAGACATTTAGAACTTTAAAAAATCTCAATTAAATACACAATAATTTATGAAATCTTAAAAAAATTTTATAAATCTTAAAGGAATAATAACTCCCTTATTTTAGACATTTAAAAATTTTTAAAGTCTCGGGTATTCCTTTAAATTTTAAAAATTTTACAAAATCAAGAGATATTTTAATTTATTTATTTGAGCTACTACGATTTTTTCCCTATTTAATTAATCAGTTTCATTTAGTATCTTTATCAATTATGGCGAAATTACACTACATAGTACATGTCAATATAAAGCTTATTGTGTTTATTGTATTGTAGTCTTTAGGCGATCTTCTGATTGTACTTCCAATTTTAGGCATTTGGTTTTACTTATCCGCGGTTGACTGTTTTTTGTTCTTATTTTGTGCGATTTTATAGTTTCCGAAAAAAAAAAAAATATAAAGCTTAAAAACAGCCCTAATTAATTTGTAGACCACCATTAGAGCAGAAAATCGGCCGACGAAGACGAGTGAAGTTTTCCATGGATGAGAGCAAGAAAAGCAAGCCGCCGATAGACAGGCTCAGTTCCTTGCCGGACGGCGTCATCTGCAACATCCTCTCCTTCCTCCCGACGAAAACCTCCGTCTCGACCAGCGTCCTCGCGAGACGATGGAGGAATCTGTGGGCCCACGTCCCCGTCTTATACTTCGCCGAAATCGACTTCCGCGGCGTGTCGGACATCTCGGGGGTAGTTAACGATGCGGTAAACGATGTATTAGTCGCTCACAAAAGCCCCACCATAGACACGTTTCGCATTTACCTATCAGATATGTGCGATTACGATGATTTCGAGGATTGGATGGTCACCGTCGTCGACCGCAAGGTCCGCAATCTCGATGTTTACCTAGAGACGAGTTTGCCCCAAATCATCTTCTCCTGCGAAACCCTAGTCGATTTGAGCCTCGGCTCGTGCCACATCCCAGACTCCGGCGACGTGTCCCTGCCCGCCCTTAGGAAGCTTAAACTCGAATTGGTCAGCTACGAATCGTACAAATCCCTCCCGAACCTGCTTTCCGGGTGTCCGGTTCTTGAGGAGTTGGATATCGATATGGGGTATGGAGAAAATCATTCTAATGATTGTGATGTAGCTTCACTCACTCTTAAGCGTCTCTCAATCAGTTGTGGCAGTACCGAAGACCATGATGTGAGTGAGGATTACATTTTCGAGGCTCTCCCGTGCGAGTCAATGCTGGACACGCCTGCCCTTAGGTTTCTCCAATTGTATCATGTTTCGCCTCCGGAGGTTACGGCCCGTGCACTGGCTTCATTGACCGAAGCAAAAGTTGATTTTGATTTGGGGTTACAAAGGGGACCTTCTTCGAGGTCTGTGTTGGAGTTTGTGGGTAAGCTTTGCGGCGTGAGGAGTCTGACATTGACAACTGGTTTTATGAAGGTGAGTATGATGATTATGCTGGGATTTTTTAGATGAAAATATCATCTCATGTTGGTTTTATATGTGGCATTGAGTGCATTGTTTCTGTTTTGGCAGATTACCGTCTCTGAATTCTCTCTTTTGAATGTTAAATTTCCCAATTTGACCAAGCTTGTGTTGGAAGAGGCTCATGGGGGCTTTGTGTCTGTTTTTCTTGAAAATGCTGATAATCTCGAAGTCCTGGACATCACATTGCTTGTAAGATCCTTTTGGATTTTTTTCTTTTTTAGTCTTTGGTTAATGATTATTGAGGCAACTTTTTTGTGTTTATTTTTTATTTTTTGAAGTATCAGTTCGAAGAGGATCTGAATTACTGGGTGGAACCGAAACAAGTGCCGACTTGCCTAATATCACATCTTAAATATGTTGGAATCTATGGATTTGAAGGTGTGGAACCAGAGCTTAACATGACAAAATATTTGTTGAGGAACTCCAAAGTCTTGGAGAGTTTGGATATACAGCCCCGAAGCGAGCAGCCTCGTCTGAAGGGAAAGTTTGAAGAGCTCAACAAGGTACTGCTTGAGCGAGGCTCTGATGCTAGTCAAATTAACTTCCATTGAGATCGTTTGGAGATTCATTTGGTTGTCGTGTTTTTTCCCTGTTAGCTCGATTTACTATGTTCTACCACATTGCTATCCTTTAAAAACCTTTTTATGCAGTCGATCATTGGTGTGGCTTAGCTGATTTTATAGTTTCTATTTGTTTGTTCACTATGTTTAGTTTATTATGGATGACCTATTAATTTTTTTTTTGTTTTTTCGATGTTTTTCTTCTTACTGTTTCAACTAGAAAGCTAATTTCTCTCTTCTGCACCTCATTCATCTTGGGCTTTCTACGTAATTAGCGGCTGATTGGTAAAACTCTAGGATACTTGTTTCTAAACCTTGGAGTTGCTTCTTGAAATGGAATGACCATGCATTCAACGTATTGCATTTGCACTGTGATGGAGTAACTGGCCATGAGCCCTAGATATCACAGTTTGAAATAAGATTCAATTCTCGTTACATCTTCACCTACAAAACCCTAGTCGCCCTCGGGCCTCACAATTGTCTGGTGACCTAATTTCCCTGCCATCTGTAGGCTTTGTCTTCACTTGGTTAAATACGAGTCGAACGAGTCCTTAGCCCATGTGCTATCGTTATGTATTCTCGAATAATTGACCTTTTGTTGTGAGTCACATTTATCTGGTTGTCGTTATGTTACTTCGACCAAAGTGCAAAGGCTCGTGGTCCAATCAGGAAGGGAGTGTTGTCTTCCTGACCTCACCTCGACAAGTTTCTCTACAAGGTCAGGATTCATGCCTCATCACTAGGATTGCAAAAACAAGTCGAGCCGAGCATGGGCTTAGATCGAACTTTTTTCTTTAGTTCTTGATTTCGATCTCCACGAGCCATATAAAATGGTGTTTGACTCGACTCGTGAAAAAAATAAGAATGTTTGAGCTCGACTCGATACTTGAGATCAACTCGATGCTCGATATTGGCTTGAGTCCAACTTGAAATTTTAACAACTAAATTTCAGTATAAGGGTAACAATTTTGACCTTGGTGCTTTAATGTTGATGATTAAACTATGGGGTATGGGGTATTTATGTAAATAAAAAGTTGAGCGGCTCGTCGAGCTTACGAGCCTCTTTAAAAAGTTCAATTGTTTGCTCGATTGAACTGCTCTAGATCAACTCGAGCTCGAGTATGACCGAGAGCGGCTCGTGAACTGCTCGACTCGTTTGCAGTCCTACCCATCATTTAGAATCTCGCAAAAATTGACTATTTTTTAAAATTTCCAACAAGGATCTCAAAATCTAGAGGGAACTCGTTGAACAGTGTTTCATGGATTTGGATATATTATCGGCTAGAGTTATTCGTCTCAGCTTGTCTCGTTTGATAAATGAGTAGAACTTCAGCTCATTTGGTAAAATTCAAAAAGATGTTTTTTTATATAATTTTTCATATTTCAGCTCATTAATATTGAAAATGAGCCCCGCTCGAGCTTGATTATAAGCTCATAAAGTTAACGAGTCGGGCCCAATATTAGCTCAGCTCGGCTCGACTCGACTTGTTTACACTCTCAGTGCCAAAAGTTATATGTGGCAAAATATCTTTTGAAGATGGATTTCACGTCAGTTTGTGCACGCACAAAATCTGACGGCTCCAACCCGAAATTCTCCCATGTGAGGAATGCTAGCCTTGGAGAGAATCTTGCGTACATTTTTCAAAACTTTTATTGTTCACACGTAATCAGGATAGGAATTGGATTTAAAATTAAAAGTTTCATTAGTAAATATATGAAGTTTTTTTTTAGTTAAATATCATTGGAAAATGCTACAAGTACATAATAAATATTTTGAGGTGTACATAACACTCACGTGGAGTGGAGTTCACTTGATTTTTTATTTGAAAAATGCTACATAGAGGTGTACATAACACTGACATGGAGTGGGGTCCACTTTGATTTTTTATTTTTGGTAAAACCCACTTAGTGTGAGTGTTATGTACACCTTTATTATGTATATCATTTCTCTTTTTATTGTTGATAAGACTCACTTAGTGTGAATGTTATGTACACTTCTATGTATAATATACATATAGCGTTTCTCAATAACATTTCCAATTCTACATTTTTACCATCTGCAATTTACATTTCACAATCTCAACCAATCTCCATAATCGCATTATCTATAGTAATATAAAGAGGTTGTTGGAAAAATATTTTTATAGTAAGTTTGACTAAAAAAATAAATAGTTTGACTTACTATTAATGGAAATTTCGAAAAAAACACATGTACCAAAAAAATTGAGATTTTTATGGTAACAAATTTGAAGATTTTAATGGTAACAAATCTAATTGAGTATCCCAAAAAAATTGGAAATTTTTATGGTAACAAATTTGGAGTTTCCTATACCAAAATTTAATTCATTTTAAATATTAATCCATAGGAATCTACTTTTATTGGTAACAAATTTAAAAATTGTTATGCCAAAAAATTGAGATTTTGAATTGAGATATTCCAACAATTACGGATTTTTTTCCTATTCAAATTAATGTTGTAAATCAAACAAAAAATTATTCCAAAAATAATGGATGTTATACCAACTATTGATAAACTTCAATCCCATAGGAAATTTCTATGGATTCTTATGGTAACAAATTGAGATTCTTATGCCAAAAAATTGAGATTTTGAATTGAGATATCCTAACAATTTCGGATTTTTTCCCCTTCAAATTCATGATGTAAATCAAACAAAAAATTATTCCGAGAATAATGGATGTTATACTAAATATTGATAAACTCCAATCCATAGGAGATTTTTATGGGTTTCTTATGGTAACAAATTGAAGATTCTTATGGTATTCTTATACCAAAATTTAATACATTTTAAATATTAATCTTATAGGAATCTATTTTTATTGGTAACAAATTTGAAAATTCTTATGCCAAAAAATTGAGATTTTGAATTGAGATATCTCAACAATTACGGATTTTTTTTTCCATTCAAATTAATGTTGTAAATCAAACAAATAATTATTCTGAGATAATGGATGCTACACTAAATTAATATCACTGGGCCCACACGTTAATATGATATTAATTAGATAGATAAATTACGTAAATCTTTCCTAACAAAATGCATTCCAATATTGTTAACCAATTTAATGGGATTTTCTTAACTAATTTGATAGGATTTTGGTAACCACGGGATTTTGTTAGTTTTTCGTGGAAACACGAATCTTCATTATTGATAAGGTTTGATAAGATTTTGTTTCCATTTTTTTTTTATTTTTTTTCCTCTCTCAAAAATTTGATAAGGTTTGATAAGATTTTGTTTCCTTTTTTTTCTCTCTCTCGAAAATTTGAGTTGTGGATTTGAAAAAAATAAATAAATAAAATAAACATATCATATTGATAAAGTTTTAGTGTGGGCATAAAAATCAATTTTGATTTGATTGAACTTTGTTTCATATAAACCTAAGAGAATCAGACGTTTGAAAAAATAAAATATTAATAGTAAATAATCCTACCATATTTGTAAAGTTTGATTTGGAATATTGAGGCATAAAAATCAATTATGATTTGATCACATTTTGTTTTATAGAAATTATCTTAGAAAATTTTACACGTTTCAAATAATTAAAGATTATAATTTTCTAAATTAAAGTTTTGGAATTGTCCAAATAAATAGATCAAAATGAAAATATTATTTTTCAATCTATCCAAAAAGTCTTACCAAATTTGATTGTAACAAACTCCATTATTTTTGGCTACATAATCTTCTAAATATTGGTTCGTCCCTCACAAGTGAATCACGTTCCCTATTTTTTTTTAACAAAACCGATAACACATATTTTTAGAAGTCAATCATAATCATAATAAAAAAAATCGGATCGGATCATATTAAATACCTTACGTAAATATTTTTTTTATTTCCTAGACATATGGCACATACACATAACTATAAACATCACCAACGTTGAACAAAAAGTATTCGACATCCAATATATCCCACAAAAAAAATTTTTCTACAAGCTTTTACATCACCATTGAAAATGGCTTCGGATTTTGGAGTAATCAAGGATATCAAAAGATCCAATAAGCCACCAATCAAGCTACGCATAATTAGGATGTTCGAACAAGTTGAAGACGTACGCAATTATCGAAATGTGCTTGAGATTATCTTTTATGATTTTGAGGTAATATATTCATTTAGTATTATTTAAATGCATCATTTTATGCAACATCTTTTATAATTTATTTATTGAAGTATTCATTGTGCAATGTTTTAGGGAGGATGAATTACTGGCATAATTCGACCTGTCAATATCCAAAAAATCATCGGTGATATTGAAGAAGGTGGCGCTTATATTTTGACAAACTATCAAGTGAAAAGCAATATTGGCATCCATAAATCGACGATAGATAAAAGGGGGATCATTATCAATGGTCAAACCAAGATTATCAAATGGAGAGGTGATTTATCAAATGGAGGGGTGATTTCTCTATTTCTAACTTTAATGGATGTTCGTAACATTGATGAAGTCATGTTGTTTGGTACGTTATAATTTTTTTGTTTATTTCTTATTTCAATTTTTTTAATTTGAAATCTGTAATAAACTAATTATATATGTTATACATTTCAATATGATGCATTTTCTTATATTTTTGTAGATGTTATTGGATTAATTGTTTCGCATTATGTTTTCTTACAACATGACTATAAACAAGAGTCAGGAACAATCATTATCGTATGTGGGCTTCTTTCTTAAGAAACCAGTGTTTAGTCATGGTCAATTGTATGTTGCTGTCTCCCGTGTCACAAACAGAAATGGGTTTGAAAGTCCTAATTTGCGGCGACGATGACGTGCCAAAGAATCAAACCATGAACGTTGTATATAAGGAAGTGTTCATTAATATATAGATTTTATTATCATTGTATTTATTAATTTATTTATTGTTAATGGCATGATCTTTCCTTTAGTAAGTACTTTGAATTTTAACTGAACATTGCTTTATAAAAGGGACGGAGATAATAAACCCCCGTGCATCGCACGGGACTGTACTAGTTAATATAGATTGATACATGTATATATATATAAAAAAAAATCTCTTAGCTTAAAATAAGGCATTGTTTGTTGTCCCGGATAAGATGGAATAACCCCCTCTATCCTGCCCTTATCCTATGTTTGGATCACATGATTGAGGCTCGATAGATATCCTACGGCTCGTAACTAAATCTCATTTATCCCGCATATTCGTGGTAATTCAATCCGGAAAGGTATGGCATGATTCATTTTATCCCAATGGTGAAATCGACGCATAATGTCACATGCTTCTTGACGTCGGGGCAGTCGGGGGCGAGGCTTGAGACAAGCTGCAGATAAGCTCGTCCGAGTTGTCGGAGGCACAGACAAGAAAGAGGCCGTGGCTCTTAGAGGAGGCGATGGAAAACTCGCCGGATCAGTCACTGCTGTAAGCGGAGGAGGAGGAGACGTTGAGTGTAGGTGAAATTGAGTGGGCGGGACCCGAATTGGCTTCCATGGGAGATCCAAATTAAGCTTTTTGAGTAGCGCAAATCCAATTATATATACATTCATAATTGTTGCAGCAAAGTAAGGAGAAATAGGAAATAAAATATACTACTAATAAAAATAACAATTCAGAATGGAATACCAGTTGGTGGGATGAATAAAGAGTTTTGGATTTTTTTTTATTTTTTTATTTTTCAATTTCTGAAAAACTGTAGTGGTAACTTTGCATTTGTTGGTGGGATGAACAAAGAATTTTGGATTTTTTGTTTTTTTTTTTTTTTCCAATTTCTGAAAAACTATAGTGGAAACTTTGCATTTGTAAAAATAAAAAAACTGTAGTGGAAAAATTCCACCCTTTGTTGTGATTTGGTTGCTGAATTTTAAACTTTCATTAAAATTTTCAAAAATTATTATATCACGTTATATTATGATAAAACAATACTTTATATCCATTTAATATTTATAATATATTTTCTGAGAAATTTGTAGGGCGCTTATTATTTTTAACTTGGTACTGATAGATAAATAGTGGTGTATTTTATATTGAATATTATTTGTTTCATTATTTTATATATAAAATATTGCTGTCAAATCAAACTCATTAAAGGATGGTTGAGTTAATATACTACAACATAAATGGTTTTAGGTAGTACCAAAGAAATGATACGTAAAAACTATAAAATGTTACGTAAAAACTATAATATGTTACTATAGACAATAGGTAATACAATATTGGGGCTACAGTTGTTTGTACTACCTAAAGGTCAAAGGTAATACTTTTGATAGTTTTTGGTAACACTTATATGGTACTTTTGCTAATTTTTTGTAACACTTATATTAAAAGTGTTACAATAATATGATATATAAACTAATAATATGATACATAAACCAATAATTGTAAAGTATTACAGTAAATGCTTCTACCTAAAGTCATTTATGTTGTAGTAAGAAATATAGATAGTAAAATGTAAAATGTTGTTAGGCTTTTACTTAAAAATTTTGAATATTCAACTTAGTAACAATAAAAAAGAAAAAATGAGCAAAAGTATTTTGACTGAATATTGAGAAGGGAGTGAATAAAAAAATAAGACATTGATTTTTTAACTAAACATGATCAAATCTCTCTCTCTATATATATATATATTATACATATTCATAGTAGATCATCTAACAATGTCATAAGAAAGCATAAATTACAGGTATGTAACAAAAAAAAAATATATAAATTTCTTGTGTACATAAAATTCGATACTTTTGTTTCACATTTAGTTTATCAAAAAATGTTAAGGGTCTGAATGGATATGGATTTGATTGATTTTTTATTAATTTTTTTAATCATAGTTAATTTTTTTTAAAAAAAATAGTACGATTAGTTGTTAGTGAGAATTTAAGTTTACATTAAAATATTATTTTAACTAAAATAATAAAAGTTGATTTGATGTAAAAGTAAGATAAAAATGATTGGAAGTAAAGGTTAGTTAAAATTGTGTGAGTTGATAAATAATGAATTAAAGTTGATGTGATGTGTAAGAATGATTAATTGATATTATTTAATTATATTGATAATATTGAGAATATTGTGGTTGAGTTAAAGCGTTGAGTTAAATTTGAGGTTTTATTTGTTTTTTATGGTTAAGTTTATAACTAATCACACTCTAATTGTTTAATGCATTTATAAAATATAGATGTAATTATTTTCTACAATATATAGGAATATAAGCATCCTAAAAGACTATTAATTTGATTATCACACATGAAACTCCATGAAAAATAAAAAAATATTAAGTTTAAAAAAATATATAAATTAAGTTAGTAAAATATTTTGCAATTGTAAAATTCCTAATATGCATTAATAAAAATTCAAATCTACATCGATTATTCTGAAACATCATAAAAGGACAAATAAGATTGCGAAACACAAAATTGACATGTTTGATTAATCAACATAAGTTGACACGTCTGAAAGAGTATTGCATTTCTACATAAGAACGAATTAGGTTAGGTTTTATTCGATTCAATAGTTTTGTTTTAGATTTATTCTATAACATATCTTATGTAGCCATCATCAGTAATTTACAAATGATATATTGACATATGTACTAAAATAAATACGCTATAAAAATGGGTTGACACCATTTTTTTTTCTCTCCAATTTGTTTTCGTGGGGCCTTTTCATTCACTTTAATTTTTATTTTTTAGAAAAAAAAGCAACCATCCAATGAATAGAAAGCAAATCATATATGTTTTTCTCTATTTTAAAATGCAACACCACTTTGAAAAAAATAACAAATATAAAAATAATTAAACTTTTTAAAGAAAAAATATTTTTATATGATATGATATAACAAAAAAATGTTATTTATCAAACATTTTTCAACAAATCACCAATAAAATACATTAGTCAAAATAATTATTATAATTCACTAGTCAAAACAGCTAGTACTATTTAATTAGTCATAACAATTGTACTATCCGTTACCACATACCAACCAAACAATACGAAATTTATTGTAGATAATGCCAAGTGTTAATACCATTAAATGACCATAAAAAATTACAATACACAAATTTTGGCCACCTTTTGTTAAAAACATCTTTTTTAGCCATTTTGACATGTAAAGTTACANGGATTAATAAGTTCCAACTTATTTTTATCCATTATTGATTTGATATGGAATTAATCAAATTAATCCGTTTGGGTTCCTTGATCTCATCGATTACCATCTTTACGTTTATTTACCGATTTCAGTCACCTAATGAAACGAAAGCGTAAATAAACCTAACATACATCTAATGCATGGTGGGATGATCATGTCCTTGCCTATTCGATCCATTCGAGCCAAAATGGATCTATGCCTATGTACGTGATAAAACAAATAATAGAACTACTTCTATTACATTTATTCTATCTACCCGTATAAGCACAGGCCTTCGTGGTTACAACTTGTAAAATTACCCACACATGCGTGGGCCTTTTTCATCGAACGGTCTCCACCTTGATCTAATCTCTAACGATACAAAATTTAAAATTTTACAAATTTTATCTCAAGAGACTCGCAGGTCTCGATAAATTACATTTCTTCAAGTGTTAATACCATTAAATGACCATAAAAAATTACAATACACAAATTTTGGCCACCTTTTGTTAAAAACATCTTTTTTAGCCATTTTGGCATGTAAAGTTACAAAATTACCCCCAAACTCAATTTTTTTCACAATTTTGTATTTCCCCCAAATTCATCTTCACTTTACTTCCCATCTTCACTTTTCAAAATCGAGAGAGCTTTCAGCAGGGAAAAAAAAAATCACAAATTCACTTTCACTTTCCCACAACCTCTCCCGGCTCGACCTCCGCACGTCCATTGCCGTGGCCACCTCGCCGGCTCCGGTCCGCACGACCTCCGACCTCGTCCCGTGGCCACCTCGCCGGCTCCTCACGACCTTGCCGTTCTCCGCAACTTCTCGCTAACAGTGCCTCTGTTGCCTCTGAAATCAGGTAATTAGGGTTCTTGACCCTTAAATTTGTTGTTTGAATTAGGGTTTTTTTGTTCGAATTAGTGTTCTTAACCCTTAAACTTTTGGTTCAAATTAGGTTTTTTTATTTTATTTTTATATTTTTTCGAATCTGAGTTCTTGGTCTGTTTCTTACATAATATCAACATATTCAACATAAACTTTTGGTTGAAATTTTTGTTTTTTGGTATGTTTCGAATTTGAGGTTTTTGAATTTTTTTCGAATCTGAAATATTTATCTTGTTCTGGTGCAGCTGTTCTTAACCCTCCGGGTCGAAGAACAAGCCGAAGCCGCCAAGGAGGCCCCTAACGCCCTTCGCAACCACCTGCTCGAGATCCGAGACAGGGCCGACGTGTCCAGCTGCATCTCGGCCTTTGCCGGGCCCGCCGCTGTGAGGTCTCGGTTCTTAGTGGCAGTGGGCTTGTGGCCGATGTAACAGCCGGCGGGTCCTGGCGGCATGACGAGCCTCCCGGGCTCGGTTGATGGTTTACCTGGCGGTGGTGGGCATGGTGGTTGGCCCGCTCACGGATGCAGGGCTCCTGATGGTCGTGGCCGCCACGTTTGGGAATGTTGTGTACGGGAGGCTTCCCCTGGAGGATGATGAGGAAGGGTTGGGGCCCGAGAAGGGGGAAAAATGGGAGACGGGCTGCCCGATTTGGTGCTTATGGTGACCAAACCTTCCGTACTTATGCACAATCTTTATTTGATAAAGGGGGTATGGGGATGGAGGTCTGCTGCACATTAGGTATGATAGAGAAACAGCAAGCTATAGAGCTAAAAAAGCTGGCCTTACAGCTTACAACCATAATCTTGACACATCTAGAGAGTATTATCCTAACATTATAACAACGAGAACCTATGATGAATGCTTGCAGACCCTTGAGCATGTTCGTGAAGCGGGTATAAATGTTTGTTCAGGTAATCTGCTTAATACTTGTTCATTCTCTGCGTGCATATGTGCACTTAGCTTGTCTCATATTGTGTTTATTTGCTTATGTGTTGGTTTCATAGTATGAAAAATGTTTGCATTGAATTAGATTTAGGAAGTGTTTACAAACTTCTTGAAAAAAAGCAAATAGATTTTAGTTTTCTGAAATTTCAACTTTTGGTTTTGCTTCTATTTTCGATTAAATTGAAATTTATAGTGGTTGAGGGATTTTGTAGAAGTGCTTTTGGCATTGTTTTAAATAAATGGAAATTCATTTTGACGTGCTTGTTCTTTTTCATTTTCTTCTGCTTTTCATTTCTTTGGGTATACCATGCCTACTTAACATTTCTCAACTAATTTATTTTTGTTTCAATAAATCACTTTACAAATCAGAACTTTTCTGCACATACACACTCATCATCCCAAGGGAGATTTACACCTCCTTCACAATGTACGAAAGACATTAAACTTGTCTCATCTGTAACATCCAGTTTCCTGTAATCAGGAGGAATAATTGGGCTTGGCGAAGCAGAAGAAGATAGAGTTGGATTGTTACATAAACTGGCAACACTCCCTACACACCCTGAGAGTGTACCTATTAATGCATTTGTTGTGGTAAAAGGCACACCCCTCGAAGATCAAAAGGTATTCATGTAAAGATCAGCAAATATTAAACGTGTTCCAGGAGAAGTAGCTCATATTTACTTTAATCTATAACGAGAGAATCTTATATGTGACATTCTTAACTTTCTTTCCAATAGACAGTGTTTCTCTCCTAACAGAGGTAGAGGATCCCATCCATTGATGAGAGTCCTCCAATAAACGGTACAAAATAGTGCAAATAATTGCGACCTTGAACGTTACTTTTGAACTGAAGAATTTAGGCTGAGAAGAAAATTTTCAAATGATTCCTTTTAAGACCGTTTTCAAATCCATCACACTTTCAAATATGAATGACACTGTGATGTTTTTATAAATTCTATAATGTGCTGAAAAGGTATGAAGAACTTTTCTTTCCTCTCTTCTATGTTGGACCTCTCCTCCGTTAGCCTTTTCATAAAGCTTTTTGCAGTTGTTGTTGTTGTTTTTTTTGTTAAAAAAAAAAAATTCTGTACCCTTAAATCTTTTCCTAGTTTTCTTATCTTTGCTAACTCCTGACTGTACTCTTTGTTTAATATGTTGGAAAATTATAATGATAGAATCGAGAATTTATTTTAAATTACTTTTCTTGGCTAAACTTGTTTCCTTACTAATTTGTAGGTACCTTTGCAGTTGCAGGCTGGATTTATGCTCGAATCCTTGAGGGAGTTTATTTGACACTCTCTCATGGAGTTTATTTGACATTTTTTCTCTTTTTTTCCCCTAGCATATCTGATTCCTATACCTAAATGTAATTTGTTCCCGTTTGAATACATCATCACTTAATTGGTCTGCAGCAGCAGTTGTAATTTGTTTTGTTCATCCCATTTCCTATCATGCTCTGCTATTTATCCATACTTACACATCTGTTATCATTGTATTTTAGGCTTTGACATCCATTGGAGGGCAATCCTGAGGATATGATTTGTGTTGCGAAGGAAAAACCCCAGGTTAGTATATTTGACTACAATTTTTTTGCACTATTGGTGCATTGTGCTGTTCAAGAAGAGCAATTCATAGTCGAGTGGTCCAAATATTTTTGAAATGGTTCAACACAACAACAACAACAACAACAACATCCCCAGTATGGTCCAAATATTTTTGAAATGGTTCAATAGGAAATAAAAATTGCAAATTATTTAACACACTTCATTTGGAAATACAAATTTAACATGAACTTGTTTAACTTGTGGCAATCGATTATAAAAACAGAAGCAGACATAATAAATGTGTATTTAACAACTTCATGTTGGAATGAATTTTGTTTTTTTTTTTTGTTTTTTTTTTGTTTTTTTTGTTAAAAATGTGTACTGAATAAATTGGAAAATGTGTCAAAATATATTTTTACATAAACAGGGCAATACACTTTGAATTAGTTGCTTTATAATTGTAACTAGTACAAAACCCGTGTACTAAGTGGAATAAAAAGAATTGCTTTTAGGGTTGAACTTTAATACACTTTTGTGGTACTGTTTGTTTGGGATTGATTGTTAAGTAGATATTAATATTTTGGTTTTTAATGCACCTTCTTCAATATTGTGTTCAAACAAAAAATAAAAAATAAAAAATTAACGCTTTTGATTTTTGGCTTGCTTATTCATTAGCTTTGGTACTTTCAGGAGACTTTGAGAAAAGCTGAAGAGATTTTCGGGATGGATAATAAAGACCTCTACATATCATTTTAGGGGTTGCTAAACCGCATCATGCATTAGGAAGTGCATTACAAATGAAGTTTGTGCTTCAGTCTCTAGGTTATGAGGTTTTCTGTAGAGTGACTCGGTGTACGCTTCATTATTTGACTTTTAAACATGGATATGTGAACACTGTTGATTGATATTTTGTTTTAAGAAATGGTTGATTTTAGAAATTCCTTGCAAAAAATATTCAAAATTTGTGCAAGTTCTATTGTTGGGACTTTAGATGGCACTAATGTATAGTACATATGTAAATAATGACATTTCTTGTAGTGTCATCTTTTGTTGTTGCTACAAACATAATGTCTTTATATTGACCTTTCAAATGAGTACATCAATCACCATCATAGGGCGACAAAAATGCGTACATGAACGCAACATTGTCATTTGTCTCATAGCATGTGGTGGTTCCAAGATTTCCTCTCATCAGATTATGAAAATATCCAGACAAAAGTTCCTAAGATTTATTATGATCCTTGTAAACGAAGTCATACGCGACATTATGAGACTTTAGTGCTTTATTGTTTTTGACTTGGTGTACCATGATCATGCTCCTGGTCACTCATTATATACCTCTAGGGGCTGAGCGACTGAGGTCGAGCATACATGTATGATTGTTGAATTTATATATTTTCCAATTGACATATTTTTGACACGACAATGTAAAAAAAAAAAAACAGGTCTTATATATGATTCAATGTCTTACATAATAAAACAAATAAAATTTGATCCAGAACCGACTTCTTGGATCAATTTCTGGGTCCATAAATGATTCAAAAATCATTTTTGGGATTTCTAAGATTTCTGGGGACCAGAAATCGTTTCTTGGTCCAGAAATCATTTCTGTGAGTTCTGGCATTTCTGGGACCAGAAACGATTTCTGGGATCCAGAAACGATTTCTGTGACCAGAAATCCATATTTCTGGGACCAGAAATCGATTTTCGGTCCCAGAAATCGTTTTTCGAATTTTTGGGATTTCTGGGGTCCATAAACGATTTCTGCGACCAGAAATCTTTTCTTGGATTTCTGGCATTTCTGGGACCAGAAACGATTTCTAGGGTCCAGAAATCAATTTTCGGTCCCAGAAATCGTTTTTCGGATTTTTGGGGTCCAGAAATCATTTCTGGAGCCCAGAAATGATTTCTGGACCCCAGAAATTGACGATTTCTGAATTTTTTGTTTTAAGAAAAATAGATAGTAAGGGTATTTTGGTATTTTTAGGTGCCAAAATGCCTAAAAAAGATGTTTTTCCTACAACATGGCTAAAATTTATGTTTTACATTTCTACTTGACTAAAAAAAAATTCACTGTAATGCCAATGCATAATCTAATTTGCCGTTTTTAAAATCTGAAGGCATTTTATGAGAATATTCGCTTTCTCATTTAGTAAATTTCATATAGAGCAATATATTAGTTGTATCGTATTCAATGTCCTGCATCTGAATACGAACCAAATTTGCTACATATTTTCTTTAGTTATCACCACAATTCTCCATAGAATTCAGTTTCTGTCATTATAAATTGAGCCCATCATCGTCCTCTCTCAACACAACTTGCGAAGATGATCCATAGGAGAGTTTAGATGTTTCTCTCCCTCTCTCTCTTTTTTTAAGTCCAATTAATTCGTATTGAATGATTTGCCCACCAAGTGTTTGTAGAAAAGCCCAACAGAAACTCTATGGAGATACCCATCGAAAACACCGGAAGATTTCAGATGGAGGCCTGGCGACTCATTCAACCATCATTCCAGCTAGAAGATAAGGATTCCATGTTGGCCCATGTCCCCATAAGGTTGGTGAATCCCTTTTTTTTCTCACTTGCTAGCAAGCTGTGTTATTTTTAACTGTGATATCTATATATATGTATGCAATATACAGCTCCATGTGGGCCCAAGTCCCTGATCTCGATTTTTATACAGGCAGAACCAGTGCTCTGGGACAGCATGATTCTCGGACGTCAGTGCCAAATTCCCCTTCAACAAAGGGCTTTCATCAAAGGGCCGGATTTCGACGTTGAGGAATTCTAAAGTCTTGACGAGGATGGAATTACTTTGTATGTCACTGTTGGCATCATTGAGGGAATCCTTGAAGAGGGGAAGAGAAATGTCGATCGGTCGAAGATAATCGAGCCGTTTGGGGATACGTTCCGCCATCGGATGGGACAACTCGGAAATCAAAGGGTCCTGTTTGCCTATTAATTAGTTGATATAGATGATAGGTATGATATTATAGCTGATTGTATTAGCGGATAGTTGATAGTGGATTGTTAGCTGATTGTATTAGCGAATAGTTGATAGCGGATTGTTAGCTGATTGTATTAACGGATAGTCGATAGTGGATAGTTGATAACGGATTGTAAGGTTNATAATTAAAAAAAAAAAAAAAAGATCGTAAAATTCTACTTTTATGTATTAAACCATAGTTCTCTGAGCTAATGACTATGTATTTACTATTTTCTGACGTCTTAATGATATGTGATTAATATAGCCGATCCCACTTAGTAAGATTTTAACTTTTTGTTGTTGTTGTTTTAACGAATTGCAGACTTGATTATCTAGTCTACATGTATAATAAAGAAAGATCTTAAAAAACTCTACATCTATGTATTTACTATTTTCTGACATCTTAACGATGTAGACTTGAATATCTAGTCTATACGTATAATAAAAAAGATAGTAAAACTCTACGTTTATGTATTAGACCATAGTTCTCTGAGCTGACGACTTTGTATTTACTATTTACTAACATCTTAACGAATGTAGACTTGATTATCTGGTCTACACGTATAATCAGAAAGATTTTAAAACTATACGTTTATGTATTAGACCATAGTTCTCTGAGCTCACAACTTTGTATTTACTATTTACTAACATCTTAACGAATGCAGACTCGATTATTTGGTCTACACGTATAATAGAAAGATCTTAAAACTCTATTTTTATGTATTAGACCATAATTCTGACAACTCTTATTTACAATTTACTGTTATGTAGACTTGATTACATGGTCTACACGTATAATCATAAGGAACTTAAAACTCTATGTTTATGACGACTCTGTATTTACTACTAGTGACATCTCAACTAATGCAGACTTGATTATTTGGTACACGTATAATCAAAATGATCTTAAAAATCTACGCTTATGTATTAGACCAATTCTCTGAACTGACGACTCTGTATTTACTATTTATTAACATCTTAACGAATATAGACTTGATTTTTGGTCTATACGTATAATAAGAAAGATCTTAAAACTCTATGTTAATGTCTCAAATCATAGTTCTCTGAGTTCAAGATTTACTATTTACTGATATCTTAACTAATATAGACTTGACTATATGGTCTGGACGTATACTCATAAAGATCTTAAAACTCCACGTGTATGTGTTAGAACTTAGACCATAGTTCTCTGAGCTGACTGCTCTGTATTTACGGACATATTAATAAATGTAGACTTAATTATTTGGTCTACACGTGTAATAAAAAAGATATCAAAAGTCAAAGTGTATCTGTTAGACCATAGTTGTATGACCTGACGACTACTGTATTTACGACTACTGTATTTATTGACATCTCAACAAATGTAGACTTGATTATCTTGTCGACATGTATAAAATAACAAGCATAAAAATAATTATTTACTTTTGAAAGTTATTACGATTGTAAAATAAAAAATATTTTTGTATGGTACAAAATTAAAAATAGCTGTTAAGTTACCAAACACTTTTCAACAAATTGCCAATAAATTATAATAATCAAAATAATTAATATAATTTGCTAACCAAAACAGTTGATACTATCCTCCTAGTCGAAACAAAATCCATGAAATTTCTATTGTAGATAATGCCAATGCATAATTTTATTTGCCGATTTTAAAAATCTGAAAGCATTTTATTAGAATACTAGTGTATACCTCGTGCGATGCACGGAAACAATATTAAATTAATAATATTATAAATAGACCTCGAGTTTGAGTCACTCAATGACGGAAGTGGAAACTACTATTGTTCCTATTTAAAAAGAGGAAGCAAAAAAAATAATTATAAATTAAAGAGGAGGATAAACAATACTTAATACTTATAAATTAAATATCTGAATCGCTAAATACCGCCCCCTTATTACTACTTACTGCCCCCACAAAATACCATTTTGTCCTTTCATTAAAAAAAAAAAAACAAAAAAGATGTTATAGCTTTTTATTATTAAATAAATACAATTCATTATATAATATATAATTATATATTCATTATAAAATATATTTTAATTCATTATAACATTTAAATATATTTCATTCTAATTAATAATAAAATATATTAATATATATTAACATAAATTAAATATTATTATATATTAATTATTAATTTTATAATTAATATATAAAAATATATATTTAAACATTTTTCATAAAATAAATCTATTTCGTAATATAATTTATATAAAACAACAATATATACTAATATCAATAAATTCTATTTCGTAATATAATTTATATAAAACAACAAAATATACTAATATATTTTTTCTATTACAATTATTTATATTTTATATTATTATAAATATACTAATATAATATTGTATATTATAATTATTTAAATTTTAAACTATTATATAATTATTTAAATTTTAAACTAGTTTTATATTATTTAAATTTTATATAATTATTTAAATTTTTTCTATTATAATTTTTATATAATTAATAAATTGTATTTTATAATATACTTAAATTATATATAATTATTTAAATTTTAACTATTATAATTTATTATAATTTAAATAAAAAAAAAGACTGTCCGACCCCTTTTTGAGGCCAACACAGGCTCGGCCTAAACAATGTTGAGGCTGGACGAGGGCTGGCCTCAAAATCGTTGAGGCTGGACGAAGCCCGGCCTCAAAAGTCGTTGAGGCTGGACGAGGGCTGGCCTCCATCACCGGCCGGC